CAACATCGAGGGTCCTCGAGGGACTACGATCATTTATCGAGAGTCTTTGCTAAAACGCCCATGTTCGAGGGACATGACTATTTTTCCGATAGGCAACAAGTGAGATTACCCTAAGGGTGCATGTGTGCAAAGTGTTTGATTTCATGAATTTGTCTTTGATTTTTGATGGTCTACTCGTTGATTTTATCTTGCCATACATCCTATTTAGTAGCAATATATGAAAAGCGAATAAAATGCGAAAAAATAAAATCTAAGCTATTATATCATTTTAGGGGGATGGGGGTACATATTTATGAATGGGGGTCGCAAGTAAAATTAAATCCTAAGTTATTATTACAACCATATCGAATGGATCAGAATGGGCAAGAAATAAAAATTACTTATTTGTTTAAGAAAAGAGATAAATTTGCTTAAGAAAATATTTTGGGTCTTTTGTTTTAAGAAATAAAGCAAAGTATGAAAAATGTTTTTGGTGTTTGTTGATTAATGGAATAGGAAGTGATAGAAAAAATAGTGAGAAAAAATTGAAATATAGAATCAGCATGTTGCTAACTAAGGGAGGTCAGAAGTTCTGACCCTGGCGCACTGCAAAACAGAATTCCTGTTAGTAAAAAAAAACGAAAGTAGGGTCAGAAGTTCTGAGCCTACTGGGAGCACATCAGCTTTCATAAGTTCTGATACCAATCAGCAATAGAAGCGCTTTCGAAAATTCTGAGACCATCAGCAACAAAGTAGGTTTTATATGTTCTGATATCACTGGCAGAAATTGGTCTCTCTCTTCATGACAGTCAGAACATCTGCATTTTTGGTCATTTCTCCACAGAACAGAAGATGTACATATGACAAATATAGCAGATTTCATAACATTTCAGAAATAAGAAATACCATAACCATAAATCAGAGACGAGTGTGAATCTGCTAATCCTAATTCTGAGTTCTAATTTCTTTCAAAAATTCTGAAACTGATTTAATCCATACTTAGGCATGCCAAACAAGTGATGTCTCATAATATGTATAACATCATAAGCATGATATTTACATTGTATTTTTGGACATGCAAATCTGATAATGCTGAAACAATGTGATAAGAGTCAGCAGAAACTTACCTTTCAGCTGGAAAAGATTCTGCAAGCTGGAGGTTGGTCCTGAGCTTGGGTGATGTTCTGAGCTGCTTCTTCACGTACTCAGTAAGATGGAGGTTTTTAACTTCTGGAATAGCCAAAAGGTGATACTCTGACTTCTTTGAGGTGGAGGTAAATGGAGAGTGTATAGAAATATGAACACAGAAGTTAAGATAACATCTAGTATATGAACCAACAAACGTGGGGATGGTTTTAGTCAAGGAACAATGGAGTTTTCATGTTGGAATCAAATGTTAAGGTTTTGTATTTTTGTGTTTACAGCTTTTTGGGTTCTTGGAGTTTTGTAAAGATTCAAGGTTTTTTTCCTTTCTTTTGGTGATTATCTCTCTCCAAAAACCAACCTCTTCAACGTGTGATGGAACAAGCTACTTATAGATGGATTTTTCTATGGTTTTGGGGAAAAAACAAATGAGTTTTTAAACATTTTTGGCATACTGCCCCTTTGTTTTTAAATCACAGTTTTTGTAGGATAATTTGGTGCAAGAAAAACGCAGGCGTGGACTAGATCAGCAGCACCTTGGAGCATTGTGGCAGCTGGTTACAAGACTGTGCCATAGCAGAGCAGCAGGTTAAGGTTTGGGGTTTGGTGATGTTCTGATTGTAGAAAATTAGAAACGTAACCTCCAAACGCTGAAGGGGCATCTTCCGACCAGAGCGTTAAACATAGCCTCTGCATGCTGAAGAATCATGTTCTGACTGAAGTATTATGTTCTGACCGAAGAGCATCGCTTCTGCATGTTCTGATTGAAGTGTTACGTTCTGAACCGTGTTTGCAACTTTTGACTGCACTTGCATAGAGGCTGGCTCAGAAGTTCTGAAGTGTCATATTCTTTAGACACTTAGAAAATTTTCTAAATGCTTGAAAAATTTGATTTTCAAAGTAACTTCTGACTTTTGATTTTTTTGATGAACCCATTTTATGCCTTAATGGAATATGATTCTTGGAACTTGATTTTTGATTTAAAATTCATAGTTTGACTCCTTTGGTGTGTAAATGACCACTTTTCCCCTGTGAATGATCTTCTTGGAAAATTTGTAATTTCAGATTTACAACTGGATGGAAACAAACTTGAGGGTCCAGGTTGATCCTTTGAGAAATGAGAGGACAAATTTTGGGGTACAACAATCATCATATAATCAAAACAATGGATTATATACAATATAATCCATATACAAAAATATGAGTTCGAATGCGGACACTAAACCCCCAGTGTTACAATCAGAGCATCGACTCAAAATCAAAAAGTAATGGACTACAAGCCTAAGTCGTCCGCTAACCCGTGTGCCTCGCACTATCGCCTTCGGTACCTGAGCGATACCATATCAAGCATCATTTCAACAGAAGGGTAAGAATTCCAACAAACATAAAGTATGAATTTAAAACAAAAGAAAAGCATTAAATAAAGGAATCTTACTCTTTTTCCAACTCTTGCATAAACAACATAAGATAGTCATTTAATCAATTTCACATAATCAACAAATCAAGGAAATCAAACACAAACAATTCCATTTACCAATTCGCACATAATACACAATATTCAACAACACATAAACTCGATAAAACGTGTGCGTGCGACTCGACACAATGACACGACTCATGCATGTGGTACCAATCATCCATTATCCTTCGGACTTGCCGATGTCTATCCCTCAGACGGATAATCACAAAAGCCCATTCCTTAAGCTTTCAAACCCCCACTCTGAGTTTGGGACGAGCCACTAGCCTCCACGAGACTAACAGACATCGCCTCTTGACACGGCGTATGATGCGGTGTGCAATTCAACAACAATAATTATGCAAATCAAGACTAACCTAATCTCAATTACAAGCATACATCACCATAATTCAACCCCATGAATCATTCCCACAACATTGCACAACAAGCATCAATTATTTCATTTCAACAATTATCACACAATATCAAAATATTTATAAACCAAACACATTATTTCCGGAATCGGCATTTCACAAAATATTTCGAATATTCAACACATCTACAACTTAATTCATCTCCGGTCGTATCCAAAATATCGAGTTTTACTGATTAACTGTAACCGGTTATATTAATTAATCACTCTATTAATTTAAAATTTTACTAATTAATTAACCTGTTATAATTTATTTCAATATTACAATTTAATTCGTCTCAGGTCGTATCCAAAATATCGAGTTTTACCGATTAACCATAATTTTTCCTTTCCCTTATCAGAACAACAACAACAACCAGGCACAGAACAACAACAACAAAACATATACTATTTCTCATAAACATTTTCTTCCCTATTTCAACCTAAATCCTAAACTAATACCAAATCAAATGCAATAAAAATATACTAGATGTTTAGAGGAAGTCTAACTCTTACCGATTAGTCTCTAGAACGAGCTTTTCGGTTTGATTCCAAAAAATTTCCCCTCTTCTCTTCAACCCTAAATTTCCACTTCTCTTCTCCTCTTGCTACTTCTCTTTCTTTCTGTTTCTAACTTACTTCTACTTTTCTAACTTAACATAATAATAATAATAATATATATATATATATATATATATATATATATATATATATATATATATATATATATATATATATATATATATATATATATATATATATATATATATATATATATATATATATATATATATATATATATATATATATATATATATATATATTAGTTTATATATAATATATTTTATTTAATAAACTAATTTAATATAATTAAATAATATTAATTTATAATAAATCAATTAATACTAATATAAATCCATTCTCACAAATAAATCAAATAATACATATAATAAAATATTTACACACTAAATATAATATTATCGTACAAAAATAGTTATTTTCCGGTAAAATAAATAAACTCAATTAATCACATACCGGACCGAATTATCGACTAAATAATTAATAATTTACCAAAATAAATATCAACCGGTCATTTTTAGAAAATAATAATATAAATAATATTAATTAAAACGGGGTGTTACAACTTTCCCTCACTTATAAGATTTTCGGCCTCGAAAATTACCTCTAAACGAACAATTTGGCATAGGAATCCCGCATCCGGCCTTCAAGTTCCCAGGTTATGTTTCCATTAGCCGAACCACCCCACACCACCTTTACCAAAACAATTTATTTTCCTCTAAGTTGTTTCACCTTCCGATCTTCAATCCTTGTCGGCAAAGTCTCAACGGTTAAGTCTTCTCTAACCTCCACATCATCCGCTTGCACTACATGAGACGGATCCGCAATATACTTTCGCAATTGCGACACATGAAACACATCATGTAGATTTGAAAGTGATGGTGGTAATGAAATCCTATAAGCCATATTACCAATCCTTTCCGAAATTTGATACGGACCAATAAACTGAGGTGTCAACTTCCGCGATTTAAGTGCCCGACTAACACCCCACTACGCTAAATAAGCTATTTAATAGCGCTTTTTTTTGTTTTTGATAGCGCTTAAAAGTGCTATTAACCGCGCCACTATTGTAAATATTTCTTATTTAATAGCACTTTAAAAGCGCTATTAAAGTACCAATTTATAATAGCGTTTTAATTAAAGTGCTATCAAAGTCAGTATTTTGCATGTTTTTTGTTTGTTTTTTTATAGCACTCTAAACAAAAAGCGCTAATATATAACATATGTTTGATAGCGCTTTCAAATAAAGTGCTAATAAATGGTACATATTTGGTACAATATTTTTAATAAGTACAGTACAATATTTTTTCTTACACAATCATTTTTTTTGGTGTAAATATAAAATAACTATATTCAATTCAACACAAATACGCTTTAAGTTACTCATTGCATATATATTATGATCCATCAAATACCAAATAACATTTTAAATTACCAAATCCTATTGTTTCCAAATATCATAACATATAGAATATTAAGAGGGCGTTTGCATAGCCAAATTTCTAGAGCCTCTGATGTGGAAACAGATTCATTGACAGAAGAATCCAAAAAGGAAACTAATGCAAGAACAGTGTCGGCGCGATTCACACAATCAGTAACAGCATTATCAACTTTCTGAGAATGTAAGAGGCGAGCGATAGCAGCTGCAGCACGAGTTTTTCCAGAATTTATGCCTTCACGTAATACTCTGGTGGCAGGCAAGATAACTTCTTCTAGAACAACTTTCTTTGCTATTTCAGTATCCAAAATAAGATTCGCTACAGCACCTATAGCCATCTCTGCCACTTCCAAAACTGAAGAGTTAGCTAGAGTAACTAGGGTGGTTAATGTATCTCTAGCAAGAGATGCTACATCCTTGTTCTCTTTGATGGAAAGAAATATTGAAGCCAGGCAGTTTGAGGACTCCATTAGGATACTTTCGGATTCAACATTGAGCAGCTTCATGGCTGAACAAAGAGCTCTGACAGCAATGCTACTTTCACGCAAATCTTTCCTTGCTTCGAAAATTTCAGCCAGAGCTGAAGCAGATTTTGCCTGAGTCTCTTCCTTGTTAGAGCTCAATAACATTATCACGGTGTCAAATGCATCACCGGAGGCACTACCTTCACGTAAAATGTCACTAAGAGGAGCAACACAAAGCATACTTCTCAAAGCATCCAAAATATATACCTTAGAATCAGGAAGTTCACTAGTCAATAATGTTGTAAGCTGACTGATAGTCGTAGTATCAGATTTATGAATTAAATGATTTATAGTCTTTGCTGCAATATCCTTCCCATTAGGACTTCCATTTTTCAATAGCCACAACAATGCAGGAACAGCATCTGCGCTTTCAACACAAGCACGTATGTCTTCACTATGATTGCACAAATTCTTAAGGATTCTAGCCGAATCTTCCTTTGCTTTTGCAGATCCTGTCTCCAAAATTTGAACAAGCGGAGGTATACCACCAGCAACGGTAATTGCCCATTTACTTTCATCATTTTCATTAGATAAAAGGCAAAGCAATGCAACTGCACATTCTTGCTGCTGTTCTGATGAAAGGCCGAGAAGAGATATCAATAGTTGAACTCCTTCACGACCCTGAAGTGCACGCCATAGACTGCCTTCACTTTTGCACAGAGTCAACAGAGCTTTTATAAGCTCATCTTTCACTTCATTGGCAGCCATTGTTATCAAACCAACAAGCAAACGTTTTGCATCGGAATTTGCTAGTTTAGTTGTGAGTATGGAATTACCGTATAAACTAGCTAGAGCTTCAATGGTCTGTTCTAGCACAAGGAAAGGCAAACGAGGTTTGAATTGTTTGAGTAACGTCTCTTCAACCACCAAAGGATCTGACGGTTTGGTAGATTCGGCCTTGTTATCATATATCATAAGAGTTGATGCTATTGCTCCTAAAGTGTCGGCAATTTGTGTAGGAGAAGAGCATGACTCGAGGCTTTGACCGAGGCTAGATATGACATAAGACAAACCACCAGAGATATTTGCTAAAGCGCACATAGCATTCTCTTGTAATGCTTGAGCACACTCACCCTGCATGAATTATTTCGAAGGAGCTATGGTAGCATTGATTAGAGCAGGAATGCCATTAGAACTGGCTATCTCTCGCCTGGCTTCTTTGCACTGAGAAGATAGAGATTTAAGAGCACCAGCTGCTTCAGCTCTAACAAGGTCATCATTACCAGGGCCTAACAGTTTCAAAAGTTGTTTAGTCACCTCTGCGCTCAACACCTTCGAACAAACAGATGCATCCTCCATCATTACAGAAGCAAGTAAAAAGCAAACACTGGCTAAAGTGCTAGGCTGCCCTGTTGCCAATAACTTCACTAATATGTCCACTCCTCCAGATTGAACTGTTGAGTTCCAGAATCCCTTAGCACTGTTGGAGAGATTTTTCAATGTTCCTGTCAATAAAGTTTCAACTACATTTTCGGTTTTCGGGCCAGCTCGCAACTGCTCCCAAAGCACGGGTACTACTCCTTCAGTTGAAAAAATTTTGGAACCAACGTGATCTTTTGCACCACCTTGAGAGACAGCATATATAGTCTTTGCAGCGGCAATTCGGGCTTCAGTAGAACTGGACTTTAGGAGACCAAGCAATGGAGGAATACAGCCTCCAAGCAAGACTTTCACCCTCAGCTCATTTTCTTTACAAAGTGATCCCAAAACAGTTGATGCCTGGATCTTCACATTCAACGAACCTGACCGGAGAAGGGAAACAAGCACTGGAACAGCCTGAGAGTGAGATCCAACAGCACTAAATGCATTTTCACGCATATCTATAAGATCCAATAACTGGCTTAAGGAATACTCTTTCTCATGCACAGAAGACGAGCTCTGACGCAGCTGCTCAATGCATTGCGCAACACTAGCCAATGTCCCATCTGGATCCTCCATGCTGCTACTACGATCTCTGCAAGTGCAACCAGGTAAGAATGTAAGATGCCAAAATTTGGAATACAGAAATTTTACTATCGATATTTCATAAATCGAAATATTAAATTCAGATTATTCTTAATGCAGATAGTTATATGATATAGTGAGTGAGGGAGATCCAAATTTCCAAGAACTTTTCACAGTCTTCGACTCCAATAGTACAATAACCATATTGAAACTTAATAAAGCATTGAACAAAATCATTTGACACATATTTATGAGGCATATTTACAATATTACATGTCTAAAATGTAAGAAAGCTTTCAAAAAATTGATGGGAAATTGCGGGCCTGATAAGAACAACACGCTCCAGTTGATATCGCTCAGCATAATTGACGTAGCGCATGAGATGAGTATATGTATAGAAATGTTGCCCAGTATCAAGACAATAATAAGACTGCAACAGAAACATTATATCATAGAAATATTATAGAAAACATGTGGAGGACACAAAAGTAAGAAAAATAAACAGTTTTATAATCATAAATTGATTTTAACTCGTAGTTGTTTTTCTCTGTCTAGCAGATACAAAAGCCAACCAACATATGATCCGCCTAGGAGAAGTAGTATAGGCCTTTTATCTTGAGACGTCATGTTGTTATGCTTTACATTTTTTGTTCTAACAACTCCTTTGATAAGGGTGCTACAAAATAAGAACCATAATTTTATAGAATTAAATGGGTTTTAATGAAAACAAAATAACACCTAGCAAAGGAACATTACAATAAAAATAGTGATAGAAACACAATCCTTAATACCTGCTTTTCTCTGATCAGATATGATGAATTCCTTCAAATATAGCAGCCTCTTGTCAATCTTCAAAAGGAAAAAAAATTACATACTAATATAAACTCAGAGAGGGGAATTGGCTTCAATAACCAAACCTGAACCTGTGTTTGAACAAACAATTTAATCAAGGAACCTGTGAGGTATGTGCTTAAGACAGTTCCAAACAACTTGTCAGCCCATGGAAACACCAACCACGTAAAATTTAGACCCCAATCCCAGCTGATCAGTTCCAAACAATTTTGTTTAGCATTGTTGTTTGATATTACAGTAGTGGTGAAGGAACTATCACAGTAGTGGTAGAATTTTTTAACAACAAAAACAACTTATTCATATAAGAGTAAAAACACAAAAACAACTTATTCCTAAAATACACAAAACAGATTATGAGAGAGTGAAAGAAGAAGCTCTATCAGGGTATAAAGCTTATCATGCTACATATAAACTCTAGAAAGGAAAACAGGGTATAAAGCTCTATCACATGCAAATTGAATTCTACAAGAGCTTCTACTGTTATTAAGCATGACTATAAATTACTCATTGGAGAAGGAGCTTTTGCAGTAGAACTTTGATGTGCATAGCATGTACGACAGGAGCTTGTGCATAATAGTCATGCTAACCTGCATCAACGTACAACCTTCTGTAAACCATATAAGTCTTGCAACACAATTCAAGCCTTAAGTATGAGAAAAAAGATCAAAACAGACCCAATGCAATACATACCTGTGTTCAACCAATGCAATTCAAGCCTACAAGCATATTATTAAAGTAGGCAGCAAATGCCATGCTCATCATCATGATTCATCATTCAAAAACTGAAATGTCCAACATACTCATACACCAAAGCATCATCGATACTATTAGCAAACCATAACATATTTGCACATACCAAGTTCAAGAATCCCCATGCCATTAACTCATGTCAGATCTGTTACGATGTTACCATCAAAGTCAACAGGAGAAAACCTACCACGCCCTTCAACATAACAATTGTTTTAGTGTCCTTATTGTGTTAGACAACACCAGGAATTGGAGCAACCTTGCAAACTTGTGACACATTAAGTGGCTGCATTTCAATCAGCAAGATAAACTGTGTATGATTCTGAAGTTGAAAATTTACTTGTACTTCTATGCTTTAATTGATATTCTAACTTAGAACAGCTTAAGCATGAAATAAGAAACACTTAATAGGAAAGACTGAAGAGGAAATTATGTTTGAAAATCTGAAGGTCATACATTTGAAATACACATAAATGCATCTATAACCTGTTCCATTGCTGTTGTGCCTTAGATCATGAAAGATCTACAAAACAAATACACATAAAATCCATTAGATCATGAAAGTTCTCTCATAACATCAACAAAATCAGGTAAATCATTATATCAAGAAAATTATACAAAACAAATAGACATAAAGCCCATTAAAAACTCCTGAAAATTCTACAAAATAAATACACATAAAACTCAATGAAAATAGTCACACTTGTTAATCTCTCTTTTTCACCTTTTGAGTTCATGCCCTAACTCATTCTTCTCTTGTTCCTGTAACAAAAATGCAAAGAAAACACATGAAACTCCTACCAACTATCAATATCCTGTTGAACTAAACGGGATTCCTGAACTGATTGTATACTCTGGCTCTTCCAAAGTCTCTTTCAAACAGACGAGTAAATAAGCTATTATGTCATTCTCTATTCAAGATGCATAGGCAAATAAGCAATATGCAGAAAATGTTCCCAATAGAGCTAAAAATCAACAAAAAAATCAGTAAATCAAGAAAAGAGCGTTAAATCAACATAAAGTCGGTAAATCAAAGAAGATACTTTCACTTTGCAATGACTGGAGATGGAGATTGATAAGATTGATAAAGTACTTTCTTGATGGCTATCTAACTCTAATTGATCTTCTTATTTGAGGTTCTTGTTCTATTTCATCATTCTCTACATGTATTTAAACATAATTTATTTTATATTAAACTCACTTTTACTAAAAATAATAATAATTTTGTGATGTTATCGGAGGATGTGATGAACTGGTTTGAAAGTATATATATCTGCCTATAGTGTGATTCTACTCTGCTGTACTCATGCAGCTTTATCCTATACTCTATACCTCTCTCTTTTCTTTCTAGACAGTGATACTTCTTCTTCTTACTCTCTCTCACAAAAGACCACAACTTGCAGAACAATAACCATGGTTTTTTCTATCTCTCATCCATTTCAACCCCAAAACAAAATCAATCTTTCTCTTAAAATAAGAACAACAACAAAAAAGAAATCCAAGATTCAAATCAAGCATTTAAGTTCTCCAACAACAATGACAACAAATCGAGAAAATAGAGGAAAAAAATTGCTTACCTGCAAGCAAAACCGAGAGTGGCTGGAGATGGAGGTCGGAGTCGAACGCCCAGTGGTGGCTGCCGGTGACGCTACAGGGGGCCGGAGTGCGTCGATATTATGCTGTTGCAGAAGCAGTTGAGTTGTTGCTCGCGGTCGCCGGCGTGTCGTCGGAGGCCAGTCAAGTAATGGATTTGGAATGACTTTTCTCCTTCCTGTGTTTTTTTATTTTTTTTCGGTTTCTAATTGAAATGTGTTTTGTTTTTTTTTTTATCAATTAATTAATTAATTCATTATTATATATAACATAGCGCTTTTTAATAAATGCTATTATATAGGTAGTCAAATAATAGCGTTTTATACAAAATGCTATCTTAAAGAAGTTTAATAATAGCGTTCTGGTACAAAGTGCTATCATAATTACATAGTCTGTATTATATAATAGCGCCCGATTAAAAAGTGCTATTATAAATGTGTTTTTTCCATTTTAATAGCATTTTTTTTAAAAGTGCTATTAAATTAGGTGATACAAAAAATCATTTTTGGCGTAGTGCCCGTCGTAGGATTCACTCTCAAAAACACATGATCATCCTTCTTGAACTCAAGAGGCTTCCTCCTCTTATCATGGTATCTCTTTTGGCGACTTTAAGAAATCTTCATCTTCTCTCTAATTAACTTAATCTTATCTGTAGTTTGTTGCGCAATTTCCGGTCCAACCACCACACTTTCTCCCGACTCGTACCAACATAAAGGTGTTCGACAACGCCTTCCATACAACGCCTCAAAAGGAGCCATACCTATACTAGAATGAAAATTGTTGTTATAGGTAAACTCAATCAATGGCAAGTAACTTTCCCATGAACCTCCTTGTTCCAACACACAAGCACGCAAAAGATCTTCGAGCGATTGAATCGTCCTTTCCGTTTGATCATCTGTCTGTGGATGATAAGCGGAACTCAAACGCAATTTAGTACCCAAAGCTCTTTGCAAACCTTCCCAAAATCTAGAAGTGAACCGTGTATCTCTATCCGAAATGATACACGTTAGAATACCATGCAAACACACAATCCTCTCAACATACAACTTTGAAAGCTTCTCCATAGAATAATCCATTCTAATTGGAATAAAGTGAGCAAATTTCATCAATCTATCCATAATAACCCAAATGGCCTCATTGTTACTCGGAGTCCTTAGTAATCTCGGAACAAAATCCATAGAGATATTGTCCCACTTCCATTCCGATATAGACAAAGGTTGTAACAAAACGGAAGGCTTCTGATGCTCTATCTTGGACTTTTGACATACCAAACACAAATACATAAATTCCTCAATTTCCTTTTTCATACTCGGCCACCAAAACAACTTTCTCAAATCTTGATACATCTTTGTGGCACCGGGATGAATGCTCAACCCACTTCGGTGTCCTTCCTCAAGGATCCTCTTTTTCACATCTTCCACATCGGAAACACAAACTCGATCACGACATCTCAACACGCCGTTCTCATCAACTCTAAACTCTCCTCCTTGACCTTGGTTAACTAAAGTCAATTTGTCAACCAAAACCAAGTCCTCTTTTTGTCCTTCTCTTATCTCATCCAAGATTCCACTTGTAATCTTCAACATACCAAGTTTCACACCAAAGTAAGTTTCTTCACAAACCAAACTCAAGTCGCGAAACTGTTCAAGTAACTCCCGTTCTTTCACCATTAACATAGACATATGTAATGATTTCCTACTCAATGCATCGGCAACCACGTTTGCCTTACCAGGATGGTAATTCAAACTGAAATCATAATATTTCAAGAACTCTAACCATCTCCTCTGCCTCATATTCAACTCTTTCTGATCAAACAAATATTTCAAGCTCTTATGATCACTGAAAACGTCGAATCTCGATCCAAACAAGTAATGTCTCCAAATTTTCAACACAAAAACAACAATTGCTAACTCTAAGTCATGAGTCGGATAATTCCTCTCATGTACCTTAAGTTTCCTCGAAGCATAGGCCACCACTTGTCCATTTTGCATTAACACGCCACCTAACCCCATCAATGAAGCATCACAATAAACTGTAAACGGTTCGGATGGATTAGGTAAAACCAACACAGGAGCAGTAGTCAACCTTCGCTTAAGATCTTGAAATCTATCCTCACACTGAGTAGTCCACACAAACGCTTGCCCCTTTCTCGTCAATTGTATCAATGGTAAAGCCAACTTAGAAAAACCCTCAATGAACTTACGATAGTATCCGGCTAAACCAAGGAAACTTCGTATCTCAAACACAGACTTAGGAGATTCCCATTCTGACACAACTTCAATCTTAGATGGATCCACAACAATACCTCCACGAGATATTACATTACCAAGAAAACTCACTTGCTCCAACCAGAACTCACACTTAGAAAGTTTAGTAAACAACTGATTCTCTTTCAGAATCAACAACATAATTCCTAAGTGCTCGGCATGCTCCGCTTCATTCTTCAAATAGATAAGAATGTCATCAATAAATACTACCACAAACTTATCAAGATATTCAAGAAAAATTATATTCATATACTCCATGAACACACCAGGTGCATTCGTAACACCGAAAGGCATCACCAAATACTCATAGTGTCCATACCTTGTTCTAAACGCCGTCTTCTGAATATCACCAGCTTTCACACGAATTTGGTGATAACCAGATCTCAAGTCAATCTTACTGAACACACAAGCTCCTACCAACTGGTCCATCAAATCATCAATTCTAGGTAATGGATACTTGTTCTTGATAGTAACCTTGTTCAATTGCCTATAATCCATACAAAGCCTCATTGTATCTTCTTTCTTCTTTACTAACAACACCGGTGCACCCCACGGAGAAAAACTCGGACGAATAAAATTCTTATCAAGTAACTCTTCAAGTTGGCTCTTTAGTTCAACCAATTCCGATGGTGACATCTGATACGGAGCCATCGAAACAGGACTAGTATCAGGAACCAAATCAATAGAAAACTCCACTTCACGTTCTGGAGGTAAATCCGTAATCTCCTCCGGAAACACCTCTGGAAAGTCACAAACAACAGGAACATCCTTTCTCACTCCCCTTTCACCAAGATTCATGCTCGCCATCAACACAAACAATTCATCTCCATCTCTAACACACTTATTCATTTGTTGAGTAGACAAGAATGAACCACCTTCTTTCTCGTACTTGAGAAAAAGAACCGCTTTAGCAAAACAGTTGATATAGACATGGTTGGCTCTCA